GGCCTCAGACATGTATGAGCCGTGTGACCTTGGGTAAGTCACTTAACCTTGCTTGCGTCAGGTTCCTCATCTGTAATATGAACTGGAGAAGGAAACGTCAAACTACTCCCGTATTTCTTACCAAGAAGACCTCAAGAGGACTTCCAGGAGCCAAGAAGATAGCAGAGTAAGCAGTAAGTCGCTCTCACTCTCCCTTATTGACCTCTAAAAACCCAGAAAATATCACTCCAGGAAAAACCCTGGAACAGCTGAGCCAGCAGAAAGATGGGGTGCAGCAGTATTTTAGCCTGGGTAGCTTGGGGAATTAATAGGAAAGGTCCTTCTTGCTCTGGTGGAAGGGGAGCACTACAGGACAGGAGGTGTCCCAGCAAGCCAGCTGCGAGCCCCACCTCAGCAAACCAGGGGGAGAACCTGAGCCCCAGAGGGGTGGAGCAGGCAAGCGCCAACTCCAGGACCCCCCTCCAAAGCACCTCGCCACGGGCAAGGGAAACAGTAGACTCCAGTTCAGAGAACGACCATGTGCGCTAGTGGGCAGGCACGCTCCAGAAGCCAAACTTCCCCATGCTTCAGCACAACTCTAGGCAGGCAGGTGTCCTCCAGCTGTCAAACTTTCTGGTGCTTCAGACACATCCTGAGAGCTTCAGAGCTGCTGACCCCAGCTCAGCACCAGGTAAGCTGCCAGAGTACTACAACCTCTAGCTGCCAGCACCTGAGGCCCTGCCCCGTCCCGCGGGACATCAACGGAGGTCCGGACCTGTAAAAGAAGGAGGGGAGCAGGGGACACAGGAAATGGAGACAAGACAGGTTTTCTGATCAAGTCTCGTTTATTGAAGGCAAGCTCAGGGTAGTTATACACACAGTAAGAGGGAGTGGGGGAGTTCCACCACCGGTATAGGGGCGGGGTATTCCAGGAAGAGGTACAGCTTTGTTCATAATTTGTTCTTATCACAAGGACCACCAAAGGTATAGGGGTATTCCAGGAAGAGGTACAGCTTTGTCTGTAATTTGTTCTTATCACAAGGAGGCCTTGACAACTGCAACCTAATAATTTTCCAGAGGTCATACTGGGCCTGTGGTCCCTTACAAGGCCCCAACACAAAAAGCCAGTGACCAGGTCCCTGGTCCCCAGCACAAGAAGCTTAGGTCAGTGCCCCCTGTGCTCCAGCAAGAGAGCTAAACTTTAAAAACCAGGAAATAGGCAAACATCATGAGCAAAAAGCAGAAACGGACAATGACCATAGATTCTTTCTATAGAGACAGGGAAGATCAAAACACGAATTCAGAAGAGGACAACATTGTCAGTATACCCACATATGAAACATCAAAGGGGAATATGGTCTCAAGCCCAAAAAGCCTTCTTGGAAGAGCTTAAGAAGGATTTTAAAAGTCAAATAAGAGAGGTAGAAGAAAAATTGGGAAAAGAAATGAGAAGTATGCAAGAGAGAGTCAATAACTTGGAAGAGAAAGGACAAAAATTGATTGTAGAAAACAAGTCCTTAAAAATACAATTGGCCAAATGGAAAAAAGTACACTGACGAAAACAACTCCTTAAAAAGTAGAATTGGCCAAATGAAAAAGGAGGTACAAAAGCTAATTGAACAAAACAATTCGTTAAAAATTAGAACTGGGCAAATGGAAGCTAATGACTATATGAGACATCAAGAGTTAGTCAAACAAAATCAAAAGAAGACCTCAAATGGGGTCTCAAAGATTTGGACAAGACTGCACAACAACAACATGGGGAACTTCTGGTCCTGAGCTCAATTTTGTCTGGCCCTTGGGCAAGCTCTAAGTGGTGTTCCTAAAGCACACACCTTAACATGTCAGTTCCCTGCTGCATAAGTTACAATAGCTCCCTTTTACCTCTGGGATCAGATATAAATGCCTTTGGCATTTAAAGCCCATCACAGTCTGGCTCCAACTCGCCTTCCCAGACCTACACATTACTGACCTTTATGAATTCCTCAGTCCAGCCAAACAAGCATTCTTGCTATTCCTACACACTACACTTAATCTCCTGTCTCCATGCCTTTGCCTGTCCCCATGCCTGGAATGCACCCCCTGAACTTTTACCTTCTAGAATCCCTAGCTCCCTTCAAAGTTCAGTTCATTGTTATCCTGATTCACCCAGATGCTAGTACCTCCTCACCAAAATTATCATGTATTTCTTTTACACATATTTATTTCATATGTTGTCTCTACATATATTATCTTCAAATGAGATAATACTTGTAAAGTGCTTAGCACAGTGCCTGGCATATAGTAGGTGCTTAATAAATGCTCGCTTTCTTGTCCCCTTCCCGTAGAATGTAAGCTCCTACAGCAAAGACTGTTTAGTTTATGTCTTACTATCTCCAGCACCTACTGCGGTGCTTGACATTTCAGCTTAATAAAGCTTAATTGCTTGTTGAGTGATACCAAAAGAGTGATACCATTTAGCTACAAAATGGCAATATCTGAAATGGACACCAGATGGCGATATTGAGCTATGAAAGCAATCATTTCCCCCATAAAAATTAGACTAGAATATGAAGAGACCTAAGTATTCATTTGGTCCATCTTGCCCATTTTATGAAAGAGAAAACCGAAGCCCAAAAAATTATCATGCCTCCCTTCCCAGAGGGATTTTCTCCACTAAAAATACAAAAAAAAAAAATTTAAACCGTTCTTTCACATTTTCCATAGGAATTAAAATCTAGAATCATAGAGTTAGCATTGAAAAGGATCTGCAAGGTCCTCAAGTCCAGTTCTTTCATTTTACGGGTAAGGAAACTGAGCCTCCAGAGAGATTAAGTGATCCACCTAAAGCCGTGCAAGTAATAAGTGGAAAAGTTAGGATCTGAACCCACTCCTCTGATTCCAGATATTTTATAGACAGTTCTGGCTCTTTCTCTGACTCTCTTTCAAATTCCAGGTTACAATTTTTTAAGAGTATGATAAGTGACAAAGGCGATATGACAGCATGGATAGTCAGGAAACTTGCAGTCAGGAAGACTAGATTCAAGTCTTGCCTTCAACACATACTGGTTGCATGACTATAGGCAAGACCATTAACCTTTTAGTGCCTCTCTAAGTAACAGAGGAGTTGCTATCTGCATAGCCAGATGGAGTTTCCACACAGGAAGGCACCTACACCCATGAAAGGGCAGGTCGGAACAGTAACAACTAGGATTAGTGAGTGAGTTGCTTCTGTGGACCTGACAAACACTGAGGTTTTTACATGATCAAGATTGTGTTTTGAATTGTCGATCTGTTCTCCCTCTTTCTCTCTCCACTCCAAATGATTTCTCTCTGCTTTTCTAATGTTCTTTAACTGGATTTAGTATATACAACTCAAGTCACAGTATTTGTCATATTTATTATATAACACGGCTCAAGCTCCCCCCATCCCCACCTCTCAAGATTCTGGGTGGCTCCCATGAATGACCCCAAGGTGGTCATTTTCTTCCTTTGACTCGCTGCCTTGTCTCTGAGGTATTCCAGGAAAAGTTATAAACACAGCTTATGTTTGGGTTTCCCCCAATGTGGGTAATTGGGTCCCCAGTTTCCATCCAGGGACTCAAGGTAGCAAAGTCTATTGGTAGTATGTGACAAAATTCATAGAAGATGCAAAGGAACCCCAGGAGACCACAGGTAGATAGATACCAGAGGACATAAAGTACTTAAATAATCTGTCACTTTCCTTGGAAGGGAATGAACATTGTAGTTAAACCCTAGCCCCCTCATAAGGTGGTGCTCAGTCTCTCCCAGACTTGTAGTCATTCTCTGTTGGTTTGGATTCCTCCCACCCATCCAAAAAAGGCAAACCTAGTTTAGGGCTATTGAACAGGCAATCGTCTTTTCAATAACCTGCTAACTCTTCTCCTCAAGTAGGATGTTGCTGTGCCTGAATTTCTTCTTCAAGGATCAGGCTGATGATGGAAATCCCCTTCTTACTCTAGAATGTCTAAACTTGGGGTTATTCACAAAGCAACCCTCCAAGGCTGGCACTGCCCAGGAAATCCCCCTTCTCTGGCTAGAAAACTCGATTCTGAAATCATGATGCCTAGAGAATTCAACATTCCCTCTCCTCTACACAGAAATTTGAGGTTCATAAATACTGTCAATGAACTACCTTACCAGACTTTGTAGGCATACACATGCCTGCTTCCCCTGTGCTCTGAGATCATCCTCCCAACCCACACTTGGGCTGATAGGTCAAGCACCCAGAGCTGAACCACTACAAACCTCCTCAGGGAGGAGGTTTGAAATCTTGAGACATTGTAGAGTTTCTTTCTAATATTCTTACTTACAAGCCCTCCATTCAGTGTGTTCCCCCAATGTCATTTATGCAGTTAATATCTCCCCATTATAACTGACCAGCTGATCTCTCCTCAATATCAATTAAGCAATTAACATTGATTAGCATTTACGGAGAAGGTATAAAAATGCCAAAGGGCCAGGAGTGGTAGTACATGCCTTTAATCTCTACTACTGGGGAGACTGAGGCCAGTACAGCTCTTGAGTTCAGGAGTTCTGAGCTTTGGTGGGGGCTATGCTGATTGGATGTCCAAACCCAGTGTATTATTAAGGAAAGTTCCTTGGAGCAGTGGCCTACCAAGCTGCCTAAGGACCAGCAAACTGCCCCAGGTTAGAAACAGAGTATATCAAATTTTCTATGTTAATGAGTAGCACTATGGAGCCCATGAGTGGCCACTGCACTTTCTACCTGGGCAAGATAGGGGAGAACCACTCTCAAAAAAACAGAACAAACAAAACAACTACCCAAACATTAACACCTCAAAACCCAAGAAGAGTTGGTTTAAGGGGCAGCCAGCTAGGGGGCTCAGTGGATAGAACGCCAAGCCTAGAGTCAGGAAGACTCATCTTCCTGAGTTCAAATCTGGCTTCAAATACTTACTAGCTGAGCAAGTCACTTAACCCTGTTTGCCTCAGTTTCCTCATCTGTAAAATGGGCTGGAAAAGGAAATGGCAGACCATTCCAGTATCTTTGCCAAGAAAACACCAAATAGGGTTATGAAGAGTAGGACACAGCTGAAATGACTTGAACAACAAGAAGGGAACTCAAACTTAAAATGGTGGTTACTATAAAACATTCCACCAAGTGCAGTTCTGGCTAGGGCACAGGCAATGGACACATTGTTGTTCTCTTGCTTGTAGAACATGGTATCTTGACTGCAAGGCTGGATCCAGCAGGTCATTCACCAGGTCTGGCTTCTCACTGGACTCAGCTGCTGTGACAACTGGTAAACTCTGTTGTAGACTCCAGTTGCTGGGCCTCTGCTGGCTCTCCCAACATTCTGAAGCCTGGCCTGCTCTGTCTCTGGTGCTCATTCACCTAAGCTCAGGAAAGAATCAATACACCAGAGACAGAAAAACAGCAGGGCTGTGTGTTCACGGCCACACGGCAACCAAGCTGGGGAAGGAGATCCCCCCAGGATGCTCGAAGCAGTTCATGCTTCACTTGCTGCTAGGGAAGAGAAAACAGAGTTCATTTCTTCACACATTTTTTCATGAACTCGGTTCCAGCTCAGCAGCCAATTAAAAAGTTTGTACTCACCATGTAGTAAACTGGCAAGGAATAGACGACATCTACACAAACTCTGAAGCAGGGCGAGAAAGGGCCCCTCCATCATGCATTTTGTATACTGGCAGCAGAAAGAGCATTTGTGCATGTTGTAAGGACTGGACCTGTCTCTCCATTATATATACATATTTTTAAAAATTATAATATAATATATTATAATAAATTATAATATGATCTTTAAAAATTATATAGAGCCCTATAGGGGTAGCTAGGTGGTAGACTAGGTTAGAGTACTGGGTTTGGAATCAGGAAGACTCATCTTCCTGAGTTCAAATCTGGCCTCAGACACTTACTAGCTGTGTGACCCTGGGCAAGTCACTTAAAGCTGTTTGCCTCAGTTTCCTCATCCATAAAATAAGCTGGAGAATGAAATGGCAAACCACTCCAGTATCTCTGCCAAATGACCCCAAATGAGGTCATAAAGAGTTGGACGTGACTGAAACAACTGAACAACAACAACATAGAGCTCTAAAGTCTGCAAGACATTTTTATGAATATTATCTCATTTGATCCTCACAACAATTCTGAGAAGTAGGTGCTATTCAGCTCTTTTAAAGAATTAGAAATTGAGGGGATTGCCATCAATTGGGGAACAGCTAAACAAGTTGTGGTATACGAATGTAATGGAATGCTGTTGTGCTATAAGAAATGATAAGCAAGATGATTTCAGAAAAACCTGGAAAGACTCACTTGGTCTGTTTTCTTTCACAACATAACTAATATGGAAATGTTTTGCATGATTGCACATGTATAACATATATCAAATTGCTTACTGTCTGAGGGGGTGGGGGGAAAGGAGGGAGAGAGTTTGGAACACAAAATTTTTTTAAATGAAGGTTAAAAATTGTTTTCATACTTGATTGGGAAAAATAAAATATTACTGAGGTTAAAAAAAAGTAGGTGCTATTATTATCCCCATTTTTACAGATAATGAAACTGAGGCTAATAGAGATTTGTGAATTAGCCTGGGTAATAGCTACTAAGTATCTGACACTGGATTTGAATTTAGGTCTTCCAGAGCTTCCAATTTCATCACTATCCACTGCACCAGTTACTGCCACCTACCCTCTGGGGCTGAGCAGGCACACATATTGCCTACTTCCACCATAGGATTTAGTGGGCAACCTATCAGTGCCCCAGGTCCTGCCATCTCTTGAGCTAGTTAAGTCTCTATTTCTATCTCTCTCCTCTTAGGCTTCTCCGGGGCAGATACAGCTCCCACACACCTCTACAGAAGGCTATCATTTCCAATTACTAGTGGGGAGGGACTGTGAAAGCATAGGCTTCCATCTTCCCAGGAGCAAGTCTGCTCCTCTGTGTGCTGGTGTGTCTTCTGAACAGGAAAAATTAGAAAGGGACCCCCTCAAAAGAGGCAGAGCTGGCTTGTCAGCTCATTTTTAGAAGCCACAGAGATGGGCAGCTCTTCCCAACAAGTATCCTTCTTCCTGAGTCCCAGTCAGCCAATTATCTTGGCTGGAGGTTTGCAAGGCGGCCCAATGAATGACAAGCTAAAGTAGTAGTTCTGTACCCTCTCTGCAAGGAGTTTACCAGCATGCCCGGATTCCAGCAGATTGGAGCCCCTCAGATGCCTCCATACAAAGGCTCTGAGGAAGTCACCACATTGATTAGTACCCCTGCTCCCTACACTCAGAGTTTTATGTGCCCTAGTCTTGATTTTAAGATGGATGAATGGAATCATAGATCTTAGCGAGAGCTAGAAAGGACCCTGGAGATGACAAGCCCAACCTCTTCATTTTCCACAGGAAACAGAAGACCAGACAAGTGAAGAACTTTGCCGCAGGTCACAGTTAGGGGTAAAGCCAGGACTAGAATACAGCTCTCCTGATTCTCAAGCCAGGATTCATAAGATCATAAACCTAGAGCTGAAAGGGACCTTGGATACAATCTAGTCCAGGAGTGGGGAACCTGTGACTTGGAGGCCACATGTGGCCCTCTAGGTCCTCAAGTGTGGTCCTTTGATGTATCCAAACTTCACAGAAGAAAAGTTGGGATCCAAAGGGCTGCACTTGAGGACTAAGAGGGCCACATGTGGCCTCCAAACCGCAGGTTCCCCACCCCTGATCTAGTTCAATCCCCTCATTTTACAGATGAGCCAACTGAAGCCCAGGGAGGTAAGATGATCTGCCCAAAGGCACTAAGCATCAGAGGCAGGTATCAAACTCAGGTTCTCTGACATTGAATCCAGCCTTCTTTGTACTGAATCACTGTGTTTCCATTAGCTCTTTGCACTCGATCAGCTCAGTCCCCACATTTCCCATTTCCCTTTCTAAAACAACAGCGATTATTACCAACCAATAAAAATCAACAATAAGGTTGGTGTTTATTTTTGTGGCCCTCGGTTGGTTTCTTTTTTCTTTTTCTTTTTCTTTTCTTTTTTTTGGTCAGGCAGTCAGGGTTAAGTTACTTGTCCAGGGTCATACAGCTAGTAAGTGTCAAGTGTCTGAGGTCAGATTTGAACTCATCTTTTTTTTTTTCTTATAGATCACATGACAGAATCATACATTAGAGCTGGAAGGAACCTCATTGATCACCCAATCCAACCTTCTAATTTTGCAGATAAGGAAACTGACACCCAAAGAGGGTAAGTGACTTGAAGCCTTATTAAGTCCCCTGTCCTTGGTTACCAAAAACTTGACTCTTAGGAGAAAAAGTTCCCCACCCCTGACTTAAGGCAATGAAGGTCTTCCTTTTAAAAAAGCAAATATGTTATCTGAGAGAGATTACATTACACTAGGCTTAAAGTGAATTTGTTTATCAGATTGTCTAGGTAATAACAGTGAGATTAGTGAGATTAAATACAGCATAGGTCGATTTTGATTCGAGGAGAAGGATGAGGAAAGGTCTCTGAGAAATACAGAGTTACCACTGAAATCAAAGAGAAGGAAACAGAGTGGACGGTGGGAAGAGGACAAGGTTGGAGAGACGAGGGTCTCTGGGCAGTCAAGGAAGCAGTTGGAGAGTAGTAGACACCAAAAAAGAGAGAAGTTTAGAACAATGGTAGACAGCCGACTATGGCCTGCCAGCTCCTTTTGTACCGCCCATTTTTAAATAAAGTTTTATTGATATTTATTTTTATTTGGCAAAGATCTGGCTGCTAGTGCTAGATAACCTCATTCACCTCCAACTTCTGTAGGGTTTCCCTGATGGGGTCTCCTGCTTCTGGGAATAATGTCAGTGGTGTTTGTAGTGGAAAGAGTGGAGATCCTTCCAAGGTCTATGGAAACAGAATTACTGAGACATGTATTCTGTACATCCTTCCATTTTCCATTAAAATGGGCAGCTCTCCTGGGCAGAAGAAGAGAAAACTGGGCTGAGGAGCTAAAACATGAGTTAAAGAGAAATGCAGCATGTAGTCATGTCTTCACTTGGCAGATTAAACAAAGCATTTTTTTTTCATTTTTTCCAAGTCCGGTTGGCTCTCATCAGCCCCTGGCATATTTCTGGCCCCCAACCTGTACCCTATCCCATCCTATCCCATGCTGCCCAGGGAGCCACAGTCCTCAGGAAATTTAAAAAAAAAAAGCTGGCCAAAATTTTTAAAATTCTATTTCTTGCTTTAATACCTTGATAAAGTAATTTTCCTTTCCTGGGCCTGATTTTCTTCAACTGTAAAAACAGTTCTTTGAGTTGAATTCAAAAGTTCTTTGAGTCTGCATTTATTACCCAAAGAAAAACAAGATCTGGAAGGGTAATCATATGCAGGGATTTTTGCAACTTATGTCTGTCTCTTCGGTGAACCAATGCCCTCCCCTGGAACATCCCCTGTGGGGGAAAAAATAGTGAGACATAGATTTAATATTGTATTACAGCTGCTTCTGGACCCAAGTGGCTTGGGTTTCTTGGAATCCACTCTATCCAATCTCCCAAAGAGAACACTCTGCTCTAGACCCAGCAGGGTGTAGTCTTGGGAGAAGCCTGGCTTCTAATAAGAAGTAGGCACATCTATCTAATTGGCAAAGTTAACAAAAAAGGAAATGACAAATGTTGAAGGGGGTGAGTGCAGGGGGAGGCAGGAATTGGCATATTAATGTACTGTTGGTAGAACTGTGAACTGATCCAGGAACTCTGCAAAGCAGTTTGGAATTATGTCCCCAAAGTCACCAAACTGTGCATACTCTTTGACCCAGCAATACCACAATTAGGTCTATACTCAAAAGAGAACAAAGAAAGAGGAAAAAGACCCATATGAATAAAAATATTTATAGCTGCTCTTCTTGTGTGGCAAAATACTGGAAACTAAGGGATGCCTTTTAGTTGGGGAATGGCTTAAAATATATGTCATACATGTAACTTATTCCAGACCCAAATACAAGCATCTTTTGGATTATTTGAATCAACACTCTTCTCTTTTTTTCAAACTTCAAAAAGTTTATGATTTCCTTGGTGTGAAGCAACCCCTTGATACCTTAGTAGGTGGTTTCATGAGTTGCTATGTCCCCCAAAACTGCATCACCTTGTAGCCTTCTGCAAGAAGTTTTTCCTTGTTCCTCTTTGAATTGATAATTATTTATGAAATTCTGAAATGGGATTAGGCATGCCTGATTCTTTGGGTACTCACTGGGAAAGACCCATAATGGCAGCAGGAAGTGAGGCTACAATCACACTTTAATAAGGTAAAGAAGGTGTTGGAGCAAATTATATAAAAAGTACGAGACAAGTGACAAGAGGGGTATAGAGATAGATGGGGTAGAGATGGGGCATGGGGTGGTAAAGGAAGGCAGGCAGTGGGAGGAAGAGGATGGGGAGGGGGAGAGGTAGAGAATGTTACTCACATAACTATGTGTTAGAGTTGGGAGCATTGCTTGCAGGACAGGAGTTTGAGGTCTCATTTTTATAGGGTTTTTGGCGGGACAGACTAACTCTTATCTGTGCTATCTTCAGGTTAGTCCATTAACACATCCAAATCATCTCAAAGTTGTTGGTTAAAACTTTAAAGTTAACATGTCCACATCATCTCAAAACCATCAGTACCTTTTGGTGTTTTGCACATGTCCAGAACTTGTCTAAGATTTATATATTTTTGGACTAAAAATCTTGACA